CTCTCTCTCTCTCTCTCTCTCTCTCTCTCTCTCTCTCTCTCTCTCTCTCTCTCTCTGCGGCGGATCGACGCGTTTGTACTCATTATGTCTGGCGAACGATTCTTTACGGCTGCTATAACGCCGTCGTGACTTCCACGTTTTAGTGCGAGAGTGCGTTGTTTATCGAATGCCTCGTGTCCCAACGTTTTACGAGCGGTCGAACGCGAAACAGCGACGTGCTTCCGCCTACACGCGCTCAACCTAGGTCGGTAACGTTCGCATGTCGCGCGCGAATGTTGCCACGCGCAATTAAGTGCGGAAAGAGTCCAAGTATATCCGCTTAAAGTGGTAATAAACGACCGCGTACGTGGCCGTCGACGCGGTTTACGAGTCCTCGTACATACTAAGCGTCTTTATCGATGGCTAAGTGACGCTGTTGGCACACTGTGATACTTTCGGGCACACGGATGGATGGATGCGGGATCGCCTCGCTTAGATTGATCGCGCGAGCACTAAGAAGCTACCGCGAATAAACTCGTACAAGTAGCGCCAATCGGCAGAATTTGTCCTTTTTTTATGACATACAATTTTTTAAGAGCGATAGCTTTATAAATTTTTATTACTTGCACATGGACTCTGTATCTCTGCTGTGTCAAGAGAGAGTCAAAATAAGATCGCTCATTTAAATGTTCTAAATAATACACAGAATGGAGCGTAATGTGTGGTACAACTAAACGAGAGACCTGTAAACATCAAGTAACAGGACCATTACGTCAATGTTATAATTTCCCACTCAGCAATATAAGTGCATTATAACACATGTTGTACACAGTTATGTTGCTGAATGAGAAATTATAACAATGGTGTAATGTTATTGTTAGTTGATGTTTATTGAGAGTTGTCATCTAATAAGTACAAAAATTTGAGTAATGTTTTTTCATATGAGAGTTCGTTTTTGAAAAAATTGATTTTGAAAATTCGTTAAATACGCACACGACTAAACACGATTTGCCTAACGTGTCATTGCATTATTGATTATTTCTACTCATGTTATAATGTTTGCAAACGTTGAAAGTAATATAATACAGTTGCTGCAATATATTTGTGCACATTATTTTTGAAAATATTCCCACCTTTGCCGCAAGAACTCTACTTGACGAATTGAAGAAGTAGAAACGAGTTTCTAATGTGTGTCCATTTAGCTTATCAGTTTTGCAACTGAAATGAAAAATTATTCTAGAATTTAGGAACAAAATTTTATTTCATATTCTTAAGGCTCCTAATCAGTCAGAACAACAACGCGTTGACAACTTCGTATTGACGGTGGCGATATGATTATAAACGGCAAAATGACAAACTATTCAACGAGAAAATAGATCAGTTCGTTTCCGAAAAGCTTCTGCACTAGTGCAGACTATTGCAATAAGTTAGAGTGAAAGAAAATATATTTGTCTCTGTCTAACTTATTGCACTAGTGCAAAAGTTCATCGAAAACGAACAGATGATGTAAACAGACAACCAATTTTTTTGCAAATCACAGCGGTATTATAAAATGCAATGCGACACATATATTACGTATGACACAATTGTGGAATTGTGAAAATATTCTGAACACTGCATATTATGATATTTAAGATCACTCTGAAGACTCTAAAATCATGCCTAACTAATGATTTTTTGTGAGTAAATAAATTGTTTTATTAAAAATCTGTTGAATGAACTTTATTATACATATGTTAAAGTATACAAGCAAAACAATTTTTCTTTTTTTTTTTTATGCACAAAATGGCGGTGTAAGGATTGCACTGCAAAACTATTTTTCATTCTTTGTGCAAAACGGTGTACAAGATTCCGGAAAAATGACTGACCCTGACTGAGAACAAAATTTAAAAAATTATTTATTATTATCTACATACCAAAGATTCTCTCTTGAAGTAGGGGCTTTGCAAAATATTGAAACTTCTTTTTGCAATTTTTTGTACGAAATTTTCTCGGCCAAAATGATAAATTTTGTAAAAATGTTCACTATTTTTTAAAAAATAAATATTTTGCAAAACCCCAACGTACTTCAAGAGTCTTTGGCATGTAGATGATAATACATTTTTTAATTTGGCTCAACCATTTTTCTGGAATCTTGTACACAGAGAATGAAAATAGAGATATACTTTAACATATTTATAATAAAGTTCTTTCAACTGAAAGATTTTTAATAAAACAATTTATTTACTCACAAAAATCATCAAAGTTAGACATGATTTTAGGACCTTCAGAGTGGCATAAAGCCTTAATGCGTACAAGTAGTTTTTCAATCATATTCTGCATTGAGTCACACAGCTGATTTCTTGTCAAAAAACGAAGCGATTCGTCACATTTATTTTGTGTTTATATAAGAGTTATTTCGGCAAAAGAGGAGTGCCCTGAAGTATTTCGCAAGTGTATAGAACAGATTACAAGTGTCATCTTAATGATATATCTTTTTATTTAGCCGTAGTTGGCAGAAATTTTGGACATGGTTTTCCTCGCTTCTGACGTTTTCAATCTAATATGACCGCGATGACAGAAACTTTAATTTATTTTAAATGAAGAATTACCCGCTTTTCTCGGTTTTTTGTGCCACAAATTACGGCCCACTCTAAATGTATACACACAGCAAACCTTTCACTTGCAGAATGATATTTCACAGGTTCCAATTTAAAACAAAATACTTTCCGTCATAAAGGGTTTGCCCGAGCGCGAATGTCCTACCGATTCTGCCGGCGAGGGCTAACCCCTCGCAGCTTTTGTCTTGCGTGAAAGTGCGGGAACGTTAAAAGCACGCTTTGATATAATCCGCCCGCGCTATCGCTTTTATGAAACGCAATCGTCCTATCCGAAATTACGCGCGCGCGGATAATAAAAGCTTCTTCCGTGTATTCGTAGTAACCCGAGCTATGCGTGTATACGCCGGTGGCTTTCATATTTTGCGGATGTAGGATGCGAATGCGCTTTAATGACCGCTAAGTGTGATGCACAATGATGACACAACGATCGTCTAATGCCGCGACTCTCAATGTTCTTTCTCTCGCAGACATTCTTTCGCACCGAAGCCCTCCTAACGTTTTCACATCCTAAATTACTCGAAAATTCCCCAGCACTTGAAGAAATCGAAAAAATGATATATTTACAAGTATCACTGGACACCGTTAGAATGTGCGAATTAAAATATCGCGTGAGGGAACTCGCAAACTCGCCCCTCCATCCGCAACTCATCGGTTGGGAATCACTGGTCTAATGCTAGCCGCTGTCGCGCTAGTGATGGTTGTATCTTCCCCTCCCTCCCCCCCCCCCCCC